ACGCCTCCTCACCCAGGCCCCCCCCGCAGGAGCGGTCCCTCCGCCCGGCCTCGGTCCCGGGCAGGAAGGCCCACCTCCCCGGGCACCGGAGCGGCGCGGCTGCCAGGCAGCTCCCCCACGTGGGGAGGGAGCCATGGACAGGAAGATCTTAAAGAAAAAATGCTATTATAGCACTTAATATGCTATTATTTAACTAAGCCAGATTCTTTGGTTTGTATGCAGCAGAATACCTCCAGAGACAAGGGCCACAGATTTTGCCCAGTAACAAAATTTGATTGTGTACCCCAATAATGTTTTTTTAAGTGCTGTGAATATTGGTTTTAACCAGCCAGCTCCCGACAGCCACCCCGCGCCGCCTCACGTGACCACGGCCTAAGTCCCGCCTTCACGAACCTGGCGATTTCACCGGGCCTCGTTCGGCCTCATTGCCATTGGTCGCTGCAGATATGCGGATTCCTATTGGCTGAATCCAGGAAAAGGGGCGGGCAATCATATGCGTGCGGCGGGAGTAGCTGTGCCGGGCTCCTAGCGCCCAGCCAGTCAACCCTGGAGAGAATCCTGTCAGAGGCCGGAAGCCCTCGAAAGTCACGTGCTCCCAGGGCTGCACGAGTGATTGGCTGGGAAGGACATGAATGATGCCGCTGTGATTGCTGAATCGTCTGGGAAGGTAAAGAGAGAAAGCGTTGGTTTTGTATTTTGCTTTTTGGTGTGTGTTTTTTCCCTATGGTCCGTGTAGACTGTAGGGCGTTTTGCGTTGAACGTTGGCTGCAGGAATGAAAAACGCTCCCGGCATTGTACCAGTGCACCTGCCAGCTTCCAATGCGATTAACGCAGGAGATGCTCTCCTGCATGCATTGCACTGCAGTCAGGTAAAGGTCTGGGGGCCCAACTTAAAAAATGACCTGTATTGTCATTTTTCATAGGGCAGTAGTACGATGCGTGCCACAGAGGATTAAAAGGCGTTTCTTTCCGATGCGTCCCACGTGCAAAAATTTATTCCAGCTTTCAATATTGGAATAATTAAGGTCGGCTTCCAACAGAGTATTTGGAGCCCCTGCAAAAGCAAGCATATGGAATTAGAATCTTGGACATCTCATTTCGGAGGCTGGGTCAGATTTGTGGATGGAAGCTTTAGAATACTATATTTTATTTTCCCCAAGGATATGCAGGTGATGGGGTATCTTCAGATGAGGACATTAAGCTGACATTGCAAGTTCTGAAAGTTGAGAATTTTTTTTGTTTGTTAATCCTCACCCAAGGATATTTTTCCATTGATTTTTGGAGAGAATGGAAGGGAGAGGGAGAGACAGAAAAACAAATGTGAGAGAGACACATCGATTGGTTGCCTCCTACATGCACCCCAAACAAGAGCCGGGGAACCTGCAGCCAAGGTACGCGCCTTTGACCAGAATCAAACCCAGGACCCTTCAGTCCGAGGGTGGACGCTCTATCCACTGAGCCAAACTGGCTAGGGTGAAAGTTAAGAAATATTTACATAATGAGCTTTCCTTCATATATGAAAAATGGAACTACTGACCCATTTCTTATCTGAGTTTCCAAAAGAGAAAGAAGGATTAGCTAGTGGGTTTTCTCTAATTGTTGGCCCTAGTAATACCAATGCTGACACCTGAGAAAGCTGGCCAGGATGAGGAAGCCATTCAACAGCCAATGATGGTAGCCGGAACTAAAAGAATCAGATAGGATATTTGGTTATACAAAAAACATTCAAGGAGGCTAAACCTATTCATGGGACGTCTACACCCTTTATTTCTCTTCTAGGGCGAAAAATCTAGGAGGGAGCAAGGGATGCAGAAAAGGTACTGAGAAACCCATGGGTGTTTTACTCATTGAATAAATCTTGTTGAGTGCTACTCTGTGCCAGGCAGTGTTCTAGATGCTGAGGTAGAGGGGGTAGACAGGCTCCCTGCTTTTGTGGCACTTATCCTTCTACTAGGGCCATGACGGCGAACCTATGACACGCGTGTCAGAGGTGACACGCGAACTCATTTTTTTGGTTGATTTTTCTTTGTTAAATGGCATTTAAATATATAAAATAAATATCAAAAATGTAAGTCTTTGTTTTACTATGGTGGCAAAGATCAAAAAATTTCTGTATGTGACACGGCACCAGAGTTAAGTTAGGGTTTTTCAAAATGCTGACACGCCGAGCTCAAAAGGTTCGCCATCACTGGACTAGGGGATACATCATAAATAAGTAAGCAAACATGTAAATTAATATGTGCTATGAAGAAGGTTAAACAGAACAATGTTTGGTGGGTCAGGAAGTCTAGAGGAGAAGGCCTCCGGGAAGAGGTGACATTTAACCTGAAGAAATTAGCCACAAGGAAAATCATTCCAGGGAGAAGGAACAGCAAACTCAAAGGGCCTGAGGCAGGGGCAGCTTGCGTGTTTGAGGAACAGAAAGTCCACTGTGGCTGGAGGGGAGAGTTGGGGGAAATGTGGCTGAAAACAGGTAAGCTTCATCTAGAACCTGTAGACCAGTGGTTTTCAACCTTCTGGCCCTTTAAATACGGTTCCTCATGTTGTGACCCAACCATAAAATTATTTTCGTTATTACTTCAGAACTGTCATGTTGCTACTGTTATGAATCATCATGTAAATATCTGATACTCAGGATGGTCTTAGGCGACCCCTGTGAAAGGGTCGTTTGACCGTCAAAGGGGTCGCGACCCACAGGTTGAGAACCGCTGGCTGTGACCTGAAGTTGGATTGTATTCTGATTGCAATGGGAAGCCATTGGGGGTTCTAAAACATAGGTTCTGTATTCCCCAATTAGGACTCAGTTTCACAATAGGACAAAATGCATTGAGATCATGACCATTCTCAGGAGCCCTAAAGAGGGGTGAGTGAGAAGCTAATCAGAGAGTTGGAGCAGATGGAATCATGTGCTATAGCCCATGATGCTCCAAGATTATTCAGAGGTTCGGGGCATCCAGGAACTAATCATGTAAGTGTTCTGTTCCACCCAGAGTTTGGAGTCTCTCATAAATGACCCTGACCTGAGCATCTGTCTGGAGAGGACGAGGCAGGGGAGGCCTGCTTTCTCTGCAATCCAGTGATCACATCCCCATCAGGATCCCTGCATGCCCACTTCAGGTGTCGTCAGCATGGAATTCTGAAGTCCATGTGGCTCCTCACAGTAAACAAGGTGACGTGTCTCCATGAGAATTCACATATTCATTACCACTGTATCCATTGTGAGTGCTGGAAAGAAGCTTTGGGTTCAGCCACTCCATGCCCTCCCATTTAACAGATGAGGAATCTGGTCCCCAGAGAGGTGACTGATTTGCCCAGAGTCAGACAGCAAGTTAGGGGCAGCATCCGTCTAGAATCCACGTCTCCTCCTGCCAGTCTGCTGCTCACTTCACCTCATCCATCACCTCTTTGCTGCACAGTTCAATGCTTTCCTCTCTCCCATGAGGACTTCCTCCGCGTCTGGGCCTCAACAACCTCATCTGTGAAATGGGGTGATAACATTTTCCTCAATAGGATTGAGTGTCGAATGGCATAGCGGGTGGAAACAAGGTTTAGAAAATGTCAGAGCGCTCTAGGGATATGAGATATGAGTAGTCCTTATTTATAATTGCCATGGCAGTCTGACAGGCAGTGGGGATGTTGGGAACTCTGGCTTATGCCGTGTGTTGGCTTTCAGGTCTTAAGGAAAATGCAGAGACGCCACAGCAGTAACACGGATAACGGTCCACCTGAAAGGTAGGCATCTTCTGGTTCCATTCCATCTGACGGCTCTGGGCTTCGAGTGGTCAGGGGCAGCTCAAAGCTGTATTGAGTAATACCTGCATCTCGGGGTTCCTTGTTTGAGGAGCAGAGGAGATCTGATTAGAAACTGCTTTGCACAGTGATGGCCTATACCTGTGGTCGGCAAACCGCGGCTCGCGAGCCAAGAGCCGCATGTGGCTCGCGAGCCGCGGTTTGCTGAGCTGCAGTTTGCCAACCACTGGACTATACTACTCAATGCATAACTGCTGGCTGTTGCTTTTATGGTAATTCTCAAAGCCTGTGTGACAGGTGATGCACTTGACTCATTGTATCAATGATTGTACCCATCAGATTTTAATTTATGAAGGTGACTGAGTGACAACGTGGAGAGGCGAATGCCATTGAAAGAAGATCTTTATTACTTACATTTCCCGAGAGAAGGGGACATGTTACACCACGTAGGGCCACAGGGAAAGCACCAGGGTCGCCCAGGAGGCAGAAGGGAGCAAAGGGAAAACATCGGCCACAGCTTTTATTGTGTTTTCCACACAAATCAGGCCAGGGCAGAGGAAACAGCTTAGCATTGTCTACTTTGAGCGATGTCAGCGGGCTCTGGGCTAAAGGGTGGTCTCGGGTTGTCTGGTGCCTGGTCCTGGGTGACTCAGGGCAGGAGAAATACTGGCTGGATATGTGAGCATTAGATCAAAGAGGTGGCTGGGGATATGGGCTCTGGATTGCAAGGAAGTTGTAAACAACTTCGGCTGTTAGTTTGCCCCTGTAATGAGCGGATGCCAAATAGACAAACAGAATCTATGAAAACACAGTTAAAACACTCCTGAGTTAGGATTTCTCTAGTGAAGCCCAAGAGAGAACACACCGTGGGACCTGTTCTCAGGTTGTGACAGTATCTGGGCCCCAGACTCCTGCCCCTCTGCGCCCCACCCCCAACATGCTAGCACATGCATGCAGTAAGCAGGCACCCAAGCTTTTCCTCCCTTGGATCGCATTCCAGTTCCCGTGCGATTCGGAGATTGGCTGCATAATCAGAGGACCCACCAGTCCCGGCATTGGGCCTGAGTTTTGCAACAAGCCTGCCTGTTCTGCAGGGAAGAGCTCTGGCCTTAAATCACACGACTCTTGGCCAAATCCCAGCTCAGCCGCTTCCCACCTGTGATGCCTTTGGAACGTGACTTCACCCCTAGGCCTCCATTTCTCCACCCATGAATGGCAGACGATGACACTCAGGTTTCTGGTGAAGGAGCGAATGGATACGAAAACGCACAAACACAGCATCCAAATAATAAGCATGCCCGTTGGAGCTTTTCCAGCCTCTGAAGACAGAATGGCTGCCTGCTCTCCAGTGAACCGTGAGATCTTTGGGGGCAGAAGAAGAATGGCCACCGTGTGTTGCACTCACTCTGTGCCATTGATGGGGTCGGGACTATTTTTATCACCATTTTGACAGATGAGGAAACTGAGGCTCAGAGAGTCGAAGTGAATTACCTGAAGTCCCACAGCCAGGAAGCGGCAGGGCTGAGATTGGGATCCCAGGCCACTTGCCAGCTATCTCCCGCGCCCCCACCCTGAGTCTGTGCATTGAGCCAGCAGTCTCCTCGCTGGGCAGATCCACTCCTCTCCTGGGTTGCCTCCAACACTAGCCCTTAAGTGGTTAAGTTAGAAGTAGAGCCGCTGCCTCCCCAAGGAATATTCTTTCCCATTTAGGCTGAAATCTCGGCTGAATGCTAGGGCCCAGCTATAAAAAGCCGCTTGGTGGATTGAGTCTTCACTGGTTGTACTAGAGGTCCCATGAGCCCCGTGAACTCAGAGGGTTGGTGAGCTTAAGGGGGCCAGGAAGACTTTCCAGGTCCTCGTGGGGCGATGGGGGAGAGAGAGTGGCCCCCATGTGGGCCAGGGTGGGCACCTGCCAGGACTCAGTCGTTCTTAGCTTCTTAACGTGCAGAAAAAGCTCGAGGCCCCTTGAGGATCATAGCCATGGTGTCAGTTGTTGTTGTCATTATTAATATTATCTTTATTATCATGCCAAACCCAAGGGAGAGGGACCACACATTTCTTGGGATTTTGGAGGCAGCAGGGGATGCGCCCGGTGGTAGGGGAGTAGGTAGCCATCTTCAAGCTCCCCTCCCTTGCACCAGGTTTGTGATAACTCACCCCTGGGTCAGGTTTGTGAAGCCAGAGTAATCAACCCTGAGATTTCTCCAGACCAGCAGTGCCCCTGCTGGGTTTCACCAGTGTTCTCTAAGACAGCAGTCGCCAACCAGTGGTCCGCAGACCGACCACTGGTGGTCCGTGAGGTCCAAAGGGTTGGTGACCACTGCTCTAAGACATTCATAGGATTTACACACACACACACACACACACACACACACACACACACACAAAATATTCCATGGTGAAATAAGTTTGGAAAACACTAAGTTTAAGCATAATTAATTTTTCCAATTGCAGGCCTTGTCAGAGCCTTTAGTGTGCTCATTCATTCATTCCTTCAAACACTGTTTCTTGAGCATGTTTTACGTACCAGGTGCATTGTGCTGGGTAGGAGAGATATACAATGGGGGCAAACAATCATGATCTTTGACTTCATGGCAAGGGCCCAGTCTAAAGTGCTATCTTCAGTGCTTACTACACATGAGAATCACCAGGCGGCTCTGAAGACCTAGGAGAGGCCAGGCACCGCCTCAGAGATTTTGGTTCAGTAGGACAACACGGGGTCCCAGGCACCTGTACCAGGTATTTTTCAAAAGCTCCCCTGAGTGGTTATAACGTGCAGCGAGGGTTGAGAGCCACAGGTAAGCATGAATGATGATTTGTGATCAGTCCCGTGCAGCTGAGGTCAGGATGCAATGAGAACTAGGAGTAAGGAGATGTCATTATCTGGGAGTACGTCAGGCAGTCTCCACCAAGGAAGAGGAGCATAGGTATCGAGGTGGGTCAGGGCGAGGGTGACATCTAGTGCAGGGGACAGCCTGTGCAAAGGCCCTACAGTAGGAAACCTTGGGTAGTGAGGGAAGGGCGCAGGGTGAGATTGGAGTTTGGGGCTAGATAATCCAGGGTGTCGGGCATGCTCATCTCTCTGAACCTCAGCTTCTTTATCTGACCATCTGTGCAACTTTGGACAAGTTATTCTCTCTCTCTTCCTCTCTCTGTGCCTCAGTTTCTTGGTCTGGCAAATGGGGGTATTATTAGGACCTTAATTCTCAGGGTTGGTAAGAAGATTTAATGAGTTGATCAGTGGAAAGCACTTAGAAAACTGTCTGGTATGTAGTAAATTTTCAATAAAGAGTATGGGCCTGTTGCTGTTATTTGAATGAGTTTGCTAGGCCTGCCATGGCAAGGTACCGCACACGGGGCGCCTCAAACAACAGAAATGTGTTTCCTCGCGGTTCTGGAGGCTGGAAGTTCGAGATCAGGGAGATGAAGATACTGTCAGTGTTGGTTTCTTCTGAGGCGTCTCTCCTTCGCCTGTAGATGTCCTCACATCATTCTCCCTCCTGTGTGTGTGTCAGTGCAAGGACACCATTCATATTGGATGAGGGCCTGCCCTAATGACCTCATTTCATTAGTCACTTCTGCAAAGTACCTGCCTCCAAATTACAATCACACTCTGCGGTCCGGGGGGTTAGGGCTTCACCATAGGAGTTTGTGGGGAGACAAAATTCAGCTTAGGACATTATTGATACTGTTATTTGTCCCCCAGTTTCCCCTGGGTGACTTTCTTCCTACCTGCCTGACTTGTGGGGCTTTCTCTTCCCTTCTGCCCTAGAAATCGCAGCCAAGCACTCAACCCCGAGGTGAGCGTGAATGAAGGGGGCGTCTTTGAGAGTTTGAAGGCAGAAGCCGCCTCCCCGCCAGCGCTCTTCTCTGGCCTCTCCGGCCTCCCGACAGGCAGCCTTCCCGCCGCCCCGTTCCCATCCAGCCTGGTGCTGGGGGCCTCTGCCAGTGGTGGGGACGTGTTCCTCCAGATGCCAGCATCCAGAGAGGAGGGTGGAGGCCGGGGTGAGGGCGGCACCTACCACCACCGCCAGCCCCACCACCACTTTCACCACGGAGGACACCGTGGGAGCTCGCTGCTGCAGCACGTGGGCGGGGACCACCGGGCACACGCAGATGAAGCGGGTGATGAGCACCCCGGCACTCCTGCCCCTGCCCTGTCCGAGCTGAAGGCTGTGGTCTGCTGGCTCCAGAAAGGCCTGCCCTTCATCCTGATCCTCCTGACCAAACTGTGCTTCCAGCATAAGCTCGGTGAGTCCCAGGGACCCAGGGTAGGGGGCTCTCCATCCAAATGCCAGGGAAAGGTGGCAGAGACCCTCGCCATGCAGTAAGAGTATGGGATTCTGAGTCAGTCCTGGGTTCGAATCCTGGCAGACTAGCTGTGTGACTTCAGGCAAGTCACTCACCTTCTCTGAGCCTCTGTTTTCTCATCTGTCCAGTGGGGGTTGTGATAGGAGCTTCCCTTGCTGGTTGGTTGGTGTGAAGGAAGAGAGTGTAGTAATAAAGAGTTCAGACTACTTGGGTCTGAACTCAGGCTCTGCCCCTTCCTAGCTCTGTGACGCTGAATTCGTTATTAACTTCTCTGTGCCTCATCCATAAAATGAGGGTTATAGTACAACATACTTCATGAGATTGCAGGACGTTAAATGAATTAATATGTTTAAAGCACTTAGGACAGTGCTATGCAAGGATAGGTTATTATTTTCATTATTTTTCTTATTAATATACGTAAAATATTTAACAAAGAATCTGGCACAGAGCAAGTGCTCAATAAATACTCCCTATTGTTAGTAGTATTAGGAAGTAAGATAATGATTCATAAAGTGATTAGCCTTGCACCAGACACATACTTCACATTCAATAAGTGGTCTCTGGTACACTGTCATTATTATTATTATTATTATTATTATTATTATTACTAGAGGCCCGGTGCACGAATTTGTGCATGGGCGGGTTCCTCGGCGTGGCCTGCAGAGATTGGGCCCCAGCTCGCACACCCAGCCTCGCAGCCCCACAGCCCCACCTGGCACCCTGCCTTGGCCTGGCACTGCCACCTCACCTGCTCCACCATCCCGCCTGCTGGGTGATCAATTGGGGCTTGGGCCCCCTCCCAGTTTCCTGAGCACCTGGGAGCCAGGTGGTGGCCCCGCCCTCCCACTGCCACTGCTGGTCACCATCTGCTCACCTGCTCCACCATCCTACCGCAGCCCCTGTCTTGTCGAGGCCCATCAAGGCCAGCAGCACCTCCACTGCTGCCCGCTGCCAGCGCCCTGTAGCAGATGCCACCGTGTTTCGCGCTGCCCTCTGGTGGTCAGCACATGTCATAGCGAGCAGTCGAACTCCCAGTTTAACTACTACCCCAGGGGACAATTTCCATATTAGGCTTTTATTATATAGGATTAGTAGAGGCCAGAGCATGAAATCGCGCAGCCCCACCCACCCATGCTGGTCTTTGGTTGTTACGGCGTTAGGGCCACAGGCCTTTTATAATACAGATTACTTATTATTACCAGATCATGGTGTTGCTGTGCCCTGGAGAGTTTTAGGCTGCTATTTTAGTCCTATAGTAGGAATGATGGTACAAATGATCTCATGCCCTACTACGTCCCATAGACAATATCTAGAAGAGATGAGGCCATTCTATGTGTCCTATTTTCGCCTTTCTGGAGGTTCTAGCTGACTCGCATCACCCCACCTTCCTTGTTGGGTGCTGTCATGGTTGCCTCCCTTTTCATTCCTAGAAATGAAAGCCAGTATGTTTCCTTTTACCCTGAGTTCCCTTATGCTCACAACTTAAATTTTATTCTCAAGTATGGCCAGTTTCTTTTTCATTTGGCAGGTTTGTTTATTGCTCACAGAGGAAAATAGAAGGGACGGTAGGGTTACTAGTTTTTATTCCATATATTTCCAGTGAAGAAATATATCTTTGACATGTAGAGCCAGAAAAGCACCTGGATTTCATGCACTATTAAAAAAGTGGAAGTGAACTCCAAGCAGGAGAAGCTGTGCACGTGGTGTGAAAGCAGAATCCTGTCTACAGGTTATGAAAAGTAGGATTTGCAAATCCCTATTCCGGGAGAACTCCAAGATGGCGGCTTGGCAAACAGTGGCAATTGAATGAAGTGGAGTAAAGTTCAGTTCTATTCCCCCATCTGCCGGGGTCATGTTTTTCTATCAGCAGGAGTTTTTTCCCCTTTAACATTAAACTTTTTGAAAAATATGTTTTATTGATTCTAGAGAGAGAGAAGAAGGGAGAAGGATAGAGAGATAGAAACATTGATCGGCTGCCTCCTGCATGCCCTCTACTGGGGATCCAGCACACATCCCGGGCATGTGCCCTGACTGGGAATTGAACTGGTAACCTCTTGGTTCATGGGTCAACACTCAACTACTGAGCCACATCGGCTGGGCTTAACATTAAACTTTTATTCCGTACTAGAGTCCCAACACACGAAATTCTTGCAAGAGTAGGCCTTCACAGCGGGCAGCTGCCTGGATCCCTCCATTGAAGCTGCAGCAGCTGCAGCCCCGGCTTCATCTGGAAGGTCACCAGAAGGACGTCCAGTCTAATTAGCATATTATGTTTTCATTATTAGAGGTGGTGTCACGGTCTTTTTCTATGTATGCTTTCATTACAAGTAACACACCTCAGATTCTTTTTGAAAGTAAATATAATAATAGGTGCCATTGACTGGCTGCTAGAGATGGTGCTCTCTAAGCATTATCCCTCCAGGGGTAAGTACTGTTATTATTCTGTCCATTTTATAGATGAGGAAAGGGGGCTCAGAGAGGTGCAGTGACTAGCCATAGCTCACACAGAGAGGAGGTCGTGGAGCCAGGATTTGAACCCAGGTCTTACCAGGCTGCACAGCCCGTGCTCCTAACCCTGTCCTATGAAATGCCCCAGAGAGGCACCAGTCACATCCCTCGACTGAGAGTGGCTTAAGGGTCGCTAAAGTGGGACTAGGCCCAAATCCCCTAGAAGTGAGATTTTCTCTCTTCTAAGGTTAGTCTGTAAACTCAAAGGGCCAGGGACGTGTCTTTTTAAAGTTGCTCACCGTCCCCAGTAAGCCGGGCCCGGCCTCATGAGTCTCAGTGCGGTGTTCGGTCCTCCTCTGTCCCGCAGGCATTGCTGTGTGCATCGGGATGGCCACCACTTTCGCCTACGCCAACTCCACCCTCCGAGAACAGGTCTCTCTGAAGGTGAGTCACCTGGTGAATTCGTCTTCCATGGCTGCTCCAACAAATGACCTCAACCTTTGTGGCTTAAAGCAACATCCATTGATTATTTTACAGTTCTGTCCATCAGCAGTCTGAAGGGAGCCTCTCTTCACTAAGATCAGGGCCAACAGGGCTGTGTTCCTGAGGGAGGGTCTGGAGGAGAAGGTTTCCTTGTCTTTTCCAGCTTCTGGAGGTCGCCCACATTCTCTGGCTCCGGGCCCCTTCCTCCTCTTGGAGCGGCAGGCACCATTGCATCTCTGTGACCATCTTTCCACAGTCACACCCCCCTCTGACTCTCCTCTTCTGTCTCCCTCTTCCACTTCTAGGGACCCTTGTGATGACATTGCATCCACCTGGATAATCCCAGTCTCCCCCCATCTCAAGACCAACTGATTTGCAACCATAATTCCACCTGCAGCCTTAACTCCCCTTTGCCAGGTGACCCAACGTATTCACAGGCTGCAGGGATTAGGATGGGGGGGCATCTTTGGGGGGGGTCATTCTTCTGCCTGCCACCCTGGGCAGAGCCCTTGAGGTACCATCCTTCTCCCAAGCCCATCCATCTGCAGTGCCTTCCCAGCCCAGTCCCTTCACCCTCCTGCCATTCAACCAGTTAGCTCACTTGCAACCCACTCTTATGGTTAAGGCCATTCCACTGGCACGGCAGGGTGCCATACAGCTTCACCTCCATCATCCTAAATGCCCTCTAAGATTTGCTGAGCACTAACCATGCCCAGCACAGCTAGGCCCATTGCACAGCTCATCTTGCAAATTTGTCCCAGATACCTGGAGGAGGAGGGCACACAGGGTCATTCTTAGCTCGTTTTTCCAGTAGGAAACAGCGCCTCAGAGACACTAAGTTCCTTGCCTGGGGTCCCATAGCCAGTGCCAGTGGTGGCATCAAGGCAGGAACCCAGGCATTGAGCCCACAGGCTGTGCTCACTCTTGGTTCAAATTCCAGCTTCACCCACGAGCAGCTCTTAGATAGGTTGGTTACCATGGTGCCTCAGGTGCCCCCTCTGGAAAAGGAACCTCTTACACCCATAGAGAGGATCGAATGAGATAGGGCAGAGAGGGTGTTTAGCACGGGGTCTGGTGTGCAGGTAATGTCGAATTGAGCTATTTTTAACAAGCCTGTGCATTGTACTGTGCGTGTGGCCCCATAACAGCCACCATCCTCTCTGGTCCTCCTTTGGGGCCATCTGCTTTCTCAAAAAGCTCCTGGGCCTCCATGAGGCATGAGGGGCAGTCAATCTGCATTTGACACAAGCCGTTGAGGTCCAGAGTTGGGCATGGAGCCAGAGGTGCTCCCTGACCCCGAGTCTCATCTTCTCCAGGCAGACCCCTTTCTGCTGCTATTAGAACGGTTGGCTGACGCCATAAGGGCAGGCTTTGGAGGCTGGCTGTCTTTCAAATGCATGAGCCTCCACATGGTGCCTTGGCTTGAGTTTTCGGGAGTAAAAGAATACCTGTAGCTGTGGACAAGCTTCTAGGGGCCCTGAAACCTATGAAGTGAAGACACAGGTGACGTATTGCCTGTCTGCACATATTTTCTGTGAAAGAGAATCTCCAAAACCCTTAGTACGTTTAGGAATCTCAGCTTAACATTAGAGAACTACCTGCTTTGTCCTTCCGAGTGTGTCTTCTCGGGGCATTGCTAATTCCCTCTTTCTCTTCCACCTTCGGTTTAGATTTACAGAGGACTCAACTAGAATCCATTATTTATTGGGGTAAAAGGGTTGCCGAGTGGGTTAATCACATTGATAAGAGCCGTTGGTTGGTTGGAGGTGGTTTCTAGGGTCGTTAACCTTGACCGCTCCTGGAATAATGGGTGGATGGAGATGCATTTATTTTGTCTACTCTGGAAATATGCCTCGTAAGGGTGTGTGGGGCGCTGGGCTGTGTCTGGAGACGGTGGAGCATTTACCGAAACCGCAGGGAAGGTTACACTGGGAAAGCTATGACCTCATCCTATTCCAGCAAGGCAGCCTCCCTGGTCCAGGAAGAGACGAGCTTTTGAGAATCAGCACACGGGGGTCTACGTTTGTCTCCCGGGGTACACAGGCGGGGACACGCCAGCCCGGCGCCACCTCCAGAAGTTTCCTGGGATTGTTCTCAGGCAGAGAAGCTGCTGGGAAACCGCAAACTGAGAGCGCTTTCCAGCCTGTCTTCCTGGGGACTAAACAGAAACGAGGCTGCAGAAAGGGAAGTGGGATGGATTGTGAAGGGCTTGGCGGCCGAGGGTACGGGTTTGAATTTGGTCCTGTAAATGTGGCCCTCCACTGAAGGGTCGGTCAGTCCAGGACAGTGGCCCTGAGGGCCGTGCTGGCAGAAGTGAGAACAGGAGTTTCCAGTTTATAGTTGTTAATTGCCTCCTGGGTTGTAAAGTCTGAATACTAGGTCCTGCCATTCAGCCAGCCTGAAATCTGAGCCCGTACCAGACTGAATGTTGACATTTGTGAATTTTACTTCATCCTTAACAAAACCCCCATTTTTAAATGAATACGAGTTACTTAACGAGGTTGAAGGTTCAATTCCTGGTCAGGGCACATGCCCCGGTTGGGGCTCAATCCCCAGTAGGGGGCATGCAGGAGGCAGCCTATTGATGGTTCTCGCTCATCAATGTTTCTCTCCTCCCTTCCTCTCTGTATTAAAAAAAATCAATTAAAAAAAATTTAAAGAGTTACTTAACCTCTCTTTACCTTAGTTCCTAACAGTAAATGTGAACTAACATTTATTACATGCCAGGCACTGTTCTAAGCATTTATGTACATTAATTCTCACAACTCACAAGATAGATACCATATAGACCCATATTCAGATAAGAAAGGGAAATGAAGAGTTTAAGTAGCTTTCCCGGGGTTGGATAGTCGCCAGGTAGCGGATCAGGGACTTGAACTCGGGCTTCTAGCTCCAGAATCTGTGCTTCTAACCACTTTACTATCCTGCCTTTCCAGGTCATTCTCCGAGCAGATTCTCACATTTCTGTCACCTTCTCTGTAACTGTCCCTTGGATCCCGGTGGGAAGGGAAGAGGCCGGTGCCCTTCTTTCACCATTGCCCTACTCCCTCCAAACCCTTGAGAAAGGGAAAAGTTGTCACTTGTCATAAAATGTTCTGGAACGTTCTGCCGTGTGCACCTTTGGCATTGCAGCATCCTCATAGATTCGCTTTTCATCTGCAGGAGAAGAGGTCGGTGCTGGTCATCTTGTGGATCTTGGCCTTCCTGGCGGGGAACACCCTGTATGTGCTCTATACGTTCAGTTCCCAGCAGCTGTACAACAGGTGAGCAGGGGGCGTGGGGGACTTGGTTGGGCTTCGGATGCACAGCCCTTCTGTGTCGCATTGTTATAAACACGCATGCCTGGAGCAGAGCTCTCTAGTAGAAATAGAACGCAAGCCCCATGTGTAACTTTCTAGTAGCCACGTAGTCGGGGAGGGCTGGCCCGTGAGGGCTTCCAGGGTGAGGTTGAAACTTGAGCCAAGCTCTCCGACCGTGTACATCTCTTTTGAACAGTGACTGTGAGGAGTGAGCCGTTTTGCCACATTCTGGAGCCACGCAGAATAAAAGCATGTTGGAGAGTGAGTGCCAAGGCATCAGCTCACATCTCACACGCTGCATTAGTTGTCTGGCCCGAATATCAAGATCCTGGTGGAGGCTCTAGGAGGTGGAGCTTCCCAGAACCGTGGGTGAATTTCCAGCTCATGTCTTTCTCTGGGCGTGATCACAGGCATGGGCCCAGCTCTCTGCGCGCCCATCAGACCTGCAGCACAGAGAGAAAGAGAAAGACAGAGAGGGGCTTAGCAGAGGAGCAACAGAGCTGAGGCTCTTCTGTGTCTCAGTTTCCTCATCTGCACAATGGTGTAGGTACTAGTGCCTGCCCCATAGAGGTGCTGTTGTTATCATCGTCACAGCTGCAGGGCACATCTGTAGTATGTCCATAATCTCATTGAAACCCACCTATAACACGATGAGAGAGGGTACAATTCCCATTTTATTGATGAGAACACTGAGCCTTACAAAGAGAACATTATTTGCCCAGGGTTCAATAAATGAAGAAGCTTGGATTCAAATGCAAGTCTGTCTGATACTAAAGCCCATTAGCATGCAGTGTGATCTTGGGCATCTTACCTCTGCAGACATCAGAGCCTCGTTTATAAAGTGGGGATGAGCAATGCTCACTGCACAGGACCATGAGATACAGGGAGTAAAGAGCGTAGCACAGAGTCTGGCACTTCAGTTTTCCTGTTCCTCTCTTCCTCCCTCCTTTATAGTATTGTCCTTTGTTCCCTCCTTTCTTCTGCTTCCTCTGTGACGCCTGTTATGGACTCATAAAACTGGAGGGGACTTTAACTAATGATACTCTGGGCCAATCTCATCTTTTAACCCTCAAAGAAACTGAGGCTCAGAGAGGTTAAGTTACCCACCTAAGGTCACACAGCAAGTTACTAGCAGATTCAGGAACAGGACACAGATGTCTGATTCCCAGTTCAGTGCCCTTCCTACTGGTCATATTTATAAGGTTCCCAGAGTGAGTAGAAGGAGCTGCTGAGGGCCCGTGATCATATGTGAGCATCCTGACTCTCCGAATCCTCCCCACAGCCTCATATTTCTGAAGCCCAACCTGGAGACCCTAGACTTCTTCGACCTGCTGTGGATCGTGGGGATCGCAGACTTTGTCCTGAAGTACATCACTATCGCCCTCAAGTGCCTCATCGTGGCCCTGCCTAAGATCATCCTGGCTGTCAAGTCGAAGGTAGGCAGTGGCTGTGGCCACCAGGCAGCCCCAATCACACACGCAGGGGAGGAGGAAAGAATGGGTGTGGGCAGAGCTGATGTCATCATATCAAATGGACAGAGCCTGAGCTAGTAGGTCCTGTCACTCACCGCTTACAGCTCCTTGAAGCTGAGCATGGTTCTTTGTTGTCAGCACCTGCCTGTGACACCTCTACTCCAAGTACGTTTCCTGAGTTTCATTGTTCAAAGCTGCCCTTGGTGCAATTGGCATCTGAGTTTCACCTGAGAAAGGAAGGACAGCCTGTTGACATGCCCTGGTTATGTTTCTCCCATGGAAGGGTGGCTCTCAGAGGTTTTGACACTTTGTGGCTTTGGGAGCATGCTTTGTAAAGGAAACCAAGGCTCCTGAGGAAAGGACTCTGTGATTGATTAGTGATGTCTGCTGTGGACATAGGATGGGAAGTGATGGCAGTGATATTTTGCAGTGTACCATTGGGGAAGGCCTGTAGACAAATGTTGGGTGGAAGAGTTCTTATACAGGGATAACCATCGTAATTCAGAGGACTGAGCAAGGCTAGAAAAAAGCGGCACCTTTAGGATATAATTATTGCCAATGCCTCTGCAAGAAGATGCCAAGCGGAGGCAGATGGACTCAACCATCTCTGAAGACTCCTGCTTTTCATGCCATCTTTTCAACTTCAGAAAGCTTCGAATTCAGTTGGTGGAAAAGCAGGTTTAGAATTGTCCGTCCATCTTGAGTGACATCTGACCAAACCCATTGGCCAGGTGTAGAGGGAAACCACACTCCGTACAGCTTCCATAGTGGGCTGCGTGCTGCCCTGTCTCCTGCCCATTACACCTCTGATCCTTCTGCCTTAAAGACCGTTTTCCTTACACATGTCTTGACTAACTCCTGCTCCTACAGATCACAGCCTCTTAGAAATCTTACCTCAGGCTAGGGATGGTGCCCCTACTGAGGACACTCAGCACCCTATCCTCCCCCTATTCCGGCACTCACCACCCTGACTGTAATTGCTTGTTTAGTTGTCTGCCTTCTCTGCTTGAGTGTAACCTCTGTGAAGGAAATGAATGCATCTAGCTCGTTTGTTGATGGATCACCAGTATCTGGTATGTACTCCGAAGTGTTCATTGTATGTATGCATTATAGTTGGGTGGGTGGATGGATGAAGTAGGTGCTGAATAGGAAGGTTGGTGAATAAGATAGATGGGTGGGCAAGTGATTGGATGGATGGATGGATGGATGGATGGATGGATGGATATTTGGATGGATGGATGGATGGATGCATTGATCATCTAGTCAGCTACACTAACTCTTACCATCACCTCTTGTAGCAGCAGGGAAAGCTTATATCTACTCTCAGCTCAGCTCAAATCTCTTGTGTTTGATAGGTGTTCAAATGCCTCTGTCACAAAGATGCAGAAATCCACAAGGCAAAGTAGTACTAATTTCTCTGTGCTAGAAAGGACCAAAGAAATCTGGCAGCCAAACTAATAATAATAAAGACAGCTAAACATTGCTGAGCAATTACCAGGAGCCAGGCAGCGTGAGGCAATGCCATTTGTTTGAGAACTATTTGCTGGATGCCATCTATGTGCCAGGCAGTGTTCTGGGAACTGGGTATGCATTTTATTACCAGGTAGACAAAAACCCATGTACTCGTGGAATTTGTTGCTTAATCTTAACACACCTGGGAGAGAAGATGCTGTGAATATCGCTTTTGAGAGAGCAGAAACGGAGTTAAATAACTTGCCAAAGATTGCAAACCTCATAGTAACAGTACTGAGAGCATTGGGAGCCGCTAACGTGGAGTCAGCCCTGTGTACGGGCCAGGAAGGCTCGAACTCATTTCCTCCGGATATCTATCTCACAAGGCAAGTGCTGCCATGTTGTGGGTTTCTTTATTGAGGCAAAATTCTCATAAAATGTACCAGTAATCATTTTATTTTTTTATTTTATTTTTTTTAAGTAAGCTTTTTGTTTTGTTTTGTTTTTGTTTTTTTATATATATTTTATTGATTTTTTACAGAGAGGACGGGAAAGAGATAGAGAGTTAGAAACATCGATGAGAGAGAAACATCGATCAGCTGCCTCCTGCACATCCCCCACTGGGGAAGTGCCCGCAACCCAGGTACATGCCCTTGACCGGAATCGAACCCGGGACCTTTCAGTCCACAGGCCAACGCTCTATCCACTGAGCCAAACCGGTTTCGGCAGCCAGTAATCATTTTAAAGTGTACCATGCAGTGGCGGTCACTGAACTCACAGTGTCGTGGAACCATCATTACTGTCTGGGTCCCAGACTTTTTCATCACCCCAAAAGGAAACCCTGCACCCATTAGCAGTCGCTCGCCCTCCCCACAACTCCCGGAAACCCTCAGTCTCCTTCCTGTCTATGGACTATACCTGCTCTGGACATTTCCTATAAATGGAATCAGATATTATACGATCTGTATCTGCCTTCCTCCCCTTAGCATCGTATTTTCAAGGTTCACTCACATCGTAGCCTGTGGCATTGCTTTTTGGGGGTGAATAATATTCCATTATGTGGCTAGACCGCCACTTGTTCATTCATTCATCTCTCAATCAACATTGACGTTGTTTCCATTTTGGGGCTGTGGTGAATAATGCCGCTTTGAACATTTCTGGGCAAGTATCTGTTGGAACACGACTTTCCTGGGTTGTGGAAATGTGGGGTTTTATTTTTTGAGGAACCACCCACCCACTTTCCACAGCAGCTGCGCCATTTCGCACTCCTGGCAAGCGCTGTTTTTATCCCCATTTTTCGGAGGAGACAACAAACACAGTGAGAGATTAAGAGAGCAGCCCAAGGCCACACTGCTTGCAAGTGGCCAGGCGAGGATTTGAACTCGGGCGTCCGACTCCAGACCCCCTGCTCTGGGTCACTTAGGCAGCACCCCTCCCATCTCAGTTCCCTGGGTTTGTTAGGGAAGTTCCGCAGCGCTGACCGAGGAGTGGCGTCCCCTGCACCATCTGTATAAAATGTCCTCAAGTTCACGCCGTGGCTACCTCACTTCCTGCTCCTTCAAATGGACACCTCTGGGGGTGAGGGGCGGGGCTGGGGCCCGACACCTTTTTCCTGCTCCACCGAGGTGTAGGCGACAGTTATTAATGTCCCCTTGGCAACCGTCCAGCTCCCTTTTTCTGATTATTATTATTTTATTCGGCGAGATTAATGTGCCAGGTCAGAGCATAATCCAGGCTGTAGAGAGTGATGTGAATAGTCTTCTCAAGATAAATTGCAGGCTTGGAAAAGGTTCACAGCCTCTCCTTGCCTGTCTGAGTGCTCTCCTGGATCCTCATCCATCCTTGTCTGGGCAGAAGAAAAGGACGGGTCTTCATTGGCAGCTGGGGGGGTGCGGGGGGGAAGAACACATCTGTCAGGGACGCCTAATGGCTCACAGCACAGATGCTCTTTTCCGCGCCTCCACGCCGTCCGCTGAGAGGGTGGGTTGGTTTTTAATATAATTATCAGACTGGAAGGGCTTCTGGTATTTGGGTTTGCTTGATGGTCCCAGGGTCCCTGATGCGTGAGGCTGAGCGAGCCCCCAATTCCCACATGCCTTGGGACACCGAGTCCTCTCACACCTGGGCCTCCCAGGAGAGCCATGGCCATTGGCCGGCCAAAATGAGGGTGGGGTTAACGATGGTGACCGTTCATCTTCAACCTCAGCCCCAAAGCATCACACTGGCTAGGTGTCTAAGGCAGCCACTTGTCATTATAAATCCAGGTAACTTATATAACCCTTACGTCTTGGCCCTGCCTGATCTGGCTCCTACCCACTTCCCCGACCTCATCAACCCATGACTCTCTCCCTGGCTCACTCAGTGCACCAGCGCACCCAGCGCCTTCCTTCTCAAGCCCTTTGCACTTCCTGCTCCCTCTGTCTGGGGAAGTCTTCCCTGTGCTCCATGGGCATCTCCTGCTCATCAGTCAAGCCTTGTTCCAATGCCATTTCCTCTGAGACCCTGTCCCCTCCGGGGCCACCCTGTGGAAAGTGGTTGTTGCCAGCCTGCATTATCACACCGCCCTTTGATTTATTAGCACGTACCAGTATCTGAAATGATCAGATCGTTTTGTGTTTGTTTTCTCTCTCCCAGCTAGGATGTGGCCTCCTGAGAATAAGGACCTTTAGGTCTGTCTTGACTCCCAGGAAATGCACAATAGTTACGATGGGCTGAATGGAGAGCCTCGTGTTAAGTGATCGGGGGGTTAAAACCAGGCCTGCAGCTTCCCACCATGTAGAGTTCTCCTTGGCCTCCTGTCGCTCACCAATGCCACTGATGTTACTGAGGACCTGTTTGCTTACAGGGGCCAATGCTAGACCCTGAGAGTGTAAAAATGAGCAAGATGCCATTCTAACCTTCCTCGTCTTCCTTTATTCTTTGCGAGTAAAGCTTGTTTTTATATTAACCTAACCCAAACCTCATTAAGAAGGCAAATCTCTTGTCCCAGCATCATATACTCCAACTCCTACTCTAAATGGTAGCAGTAATTAAAAATTTAACTTGTCCACATTGCTCCTTCTTTTATTAAAATTACTCTTGGACCAGGGTTCTAGAGCTGCACTGTTCAGTACAACAGCCACCAGTCACCTATGGCTGTTTAAGTCTAATTTTAATTAAATTAAAAATTCAGTTCCTCAAGCCCTAGCTGGTTTGGCCCAGTGGATAGAGCATCAGCCTGTGGACAAAAGGGTCTTGGGTTCGATTCCAGTCAAGGGCACGTACCTTGGTTGTAGGCTCCTGGCCCTGGTCGGGGTGCGTGCTGGAGGCAACCAATCGATGTTTCTCTCTATGTTCACATTGATTGTTTCTCTCTATGTTTCCCTCTCTCTTCCACTCTCTCTAAAAGAACAATGGAAAAATGTCCTCAGGTGAGGATTAACAAAAAAAAAAATTCAGTTCCGCAGTTATATATACAGCCACATTTCACATGCTCAACAGCCACACATGGCTAGTGGCTACCATGCCGGGCA